ATTAATTTTTTATTTTTAAATACACCAATTATCTTAGCCCCATAATCCACCAGAAAATCCTACAGCTATCAACCTGTCTCACTGGCAAATGTTGCAGATTCATGGTGAAAATAGTTTTAAGCCATCTGAATTGTTGTCTGGATGGTAGAAATGCTATCTGCAATTTCCAAGCCAGTTTGTGGAATAGAAAGAGGACTGTTGAACAGGTCACTTTTCTTGCCAAGTGTATTGAAAATAGTTTTCAAAGAAATCTACCCTTGTGGTATCTGTGGGGTGTGGGTGTAGGAACTAGTCGATAAACAGATTAATCTAGGCATATGGGACAATCTACTTAAGTGGCTAAAATCTTTCCCTGCCCAATGTGTTGTTAGGGTGAGATGTCGAGATGTTAACTCTGCTTTTATCCAACTGAGAAATGGACTACCCCAGGGTGCTGTTATGATGCACCTTTCTTAATATCACGATAAATGACCTTACTGACAAACTACAAAAAAATTTTTGGTGTTGACTGCTTTCTCTATGTAAACGATGTGCTATCTATGTTACTGATTCATCCAAAGAGCAAATGAGAAAATGAATTTAGCTTTGATAAATGGAAAAATGATGTGATGAGAATCAAATGGAGGTAAATTTAAGTAAAACGGTTTGCAAACTGTTTACCCTTTCAATGAAATTGCATATTGTGTCTCTCTTATATAAAGAAATAAATGTAACAAGAGTGAGTGATGCTTGCTATCTCAAAGCTTACTTTGACAATAAACTAAATTGGAAACATCATTCAACTAAAACGGAGATGGTCCATAGGGGAATTGATAAACTAAAATTATTAAAACAATTCTGTGGTATTTCTTGGAGATATACTCAAGAGACCCTAAACACTGTCATCTATAGAACTTAAATCAGACCTGTTCTCGACTGCAGAGATGATATCTTTGCCACTACCCCAAAGTGCTGTGAAGAAATTTTGGATAGAGTTCAAAATAATGTTTTTAAAATCATCATTGGAACCTAACGCTCTAGATCAGCGGTCATCAACCCTTAGAACTTCATGGACCATTATATATATAATTTTATATTTGGCAGACCTCTAATATGAATTGCAAAAAAGAAAGGTAAATACATTTATACAATAATAATCAGCAAACTACACATATTTCATTCACATTGAAAAATTACATGAAAATTACAAAAATCTAACCTTCTTGAATAGAAAGCTTCACATTTCCATATCACTAAAAAGGAACTTCACGAAAAGCAAATCAGCAAACGCAAAGCAATATCAATAAACTGATAGTGTTATGCCGCCAATTTTTAATTAATGTAAACATAATAATCATCGCTTAGTCGGCAATGGCGCCATCCATCAACAGTTAGACAAAACAAAAACAGAAACTTCCAATGATGAAATTATAAACAAGAATGTGAATGAACCATCTGCATTCTTGTTTATAATTCCATTAAGTTTCATCCACAAAAGTCCATCATTTTACCTATTGACACCGAGAAAAGCTGTGTTCTTAATGACTACAATAGTATATGTTTGTAATTCAAAAGGAAAGAAAATTCCAGTTTGCACTATTATTGATAACAGCAGCATATCCATGGATGCAAACTCTCACTTTCAAATGTTGCTAGATACATCTTAAAATTTTCTAAATTCAGAAGGAATTTGGCTAAAAGTAGTAGCTAAAATTTAAAAAAATATATACCGTAATTTCCGGAAGAAACGCCACGGCGTTTACGAGTTTAAACCCATGCGGCATTTAGGAGCACTAAAAATAAAATATTTCCTATGATGGCCATTGTACATAGTTTGGATGGCCTTGTCATTGTGCATAGACTGGTGCTGTTCCACACAAAGACCACTCAGTGCTTTTTTGCGAACGTTATTTTGTTTACATTCTTTCCCTGAAGGGACCTCATACCTTATTCATCCTAAACGAGATCTCAGAACATAACATTCTTCCCTTTCAAATCAACATTTCATTTGAATAGTCTCTCTCCTCTGCCATTCGATGAATCTTCAGGACCCATTACCTCCCCACCCTGCCTTTTGCAATTTTTTCAAAGGCGGACACGACTCCACCTCCTCGCATAACGACTCACTGGCAATGTATTTCCCCTTCATCATATGGATTTTTCTTGGCTTCTGCCAATACAGATCCCATCAGTTTGGGTCAAGTACTTGTTGGATAGTTTTTAAGTAAGAAGGGAGCGAAAATTTTTGAAAATGTCTCTAAACCGCAGAAGCTATACATTTCTTACCTTTAATTTATTTTGAGTATGGTTTTTTTCATGCATTTTTCTTAACGGTATGTCATATATCAGGACTTAGGTTGAGTTTTGCATCTATACGGCCACGACGATGTCACACGCAATTTAATCTATTGCGGCGTTTCTGTGTAATTTTAATTTTTTTCATGCCATTTTTCTCGAGTGCGGCGTTTACGCTGATGTGGCCTTTCTTCCGGAAATTACGGTAATCCATATTCCATAATAGGTTTTGTTACTCATCACTTTTTAAACTGAATCTTCATAAAAATATAAATAATGCCCCAATTTTTCTGCGGACCAGCAAAAGGTTATCGGAGACCACCAGTTGGCGACTGCTGCTCTAGACTGATTTTTGCAATGGAAGTTCAAACTCACCTATGAGCCCGTAATTTTTAGAAGAAACAAGCAACTCTTGAAACTGTCTGAAAGGTGCCCGAGATTATCCTTAGCCCATTGGAGAAATTGCTTTCCTAGTCAACCCAGGTTAAAAATGCACAGGACTTTCCTCACTGCTGCAGTAGACGTCAAAACAAACTACAGTCAAAAGTCGTTAATCCGAACACCCATATTCCGGAATGATCTATAATCCGTACCTCAAAAGCTACAAACTTTCAGCGCATGCGTCAACGCATAATGCGTTCACGCATGCGCATAGGCATTGACGCATGTGCATAATACTTTTACGCATGCACGTTTAATGTATAATGGACGGTATAAGCTAAGCTAAAATTATCTAATTATCTATTCATTAATTGTTTGCAGATGGTGTTGTTCCTTAATCTTTGAATTGCATCTGACTTATTATTTTTTGCAGACTGTTAGAGCAATTTTATAAAAGTAAGCTTGAACTTTCAATTATGTCAAATAGAATTTCCGATGCTGGAGCTGCCAAAGGATCTGCAAAGCGAAAGCATGTTTCGATGTCTATCAAACAAAAAGTGGAATTGGCATGGATAAAGGCATATTCTTTGTTCCTCTAATCATTCCGAAATCTGTTTATCAATTTCACGCTGCTCTGCAGGGGGGGGACGTTGCGGCACACAATGAACTGGAAGTTTTATGCAGCACATCCTATCTTCAGGGCAGATTTTTTATTTATCCGCTTATATTCTTACTAATGTAGTATTTCTCTCATGTATTCCACTTTGATATGATTTAAACCAAATTCCTCGTCATTATCATATCACGAGTACATGAAATAGTTTCTGGTTGCAATTTTCAATTTGACTATGCGTAATGTTCGTTGAAAAGAAATGTTTAGTAAAGTAAACAAATAATATTACGCTTTTTTTTTTGTTTTTTTTTTTTTTTTTTTTTTTTTTTTTTTTTTTTTTTTTTTTTTTGTAAATTTTGATACCCTTAGACAATTGCTCTTCATTTCAGAAATTACGGGCTTTTTTTAATTTTAATAATCCTGCATGACATCTTACCAGGTTTAAACTGATGATCTATAATCCGGAAAAATCGATAATCCGGAATCGCTGAAGTCCCGACAAGTCCGGATTAAAGAATTTTGACCGTATAGCGTATCCTTGTTTGCAAACACTTTTATAAAGCAAGTTGTTAGCCTTTTGATTTTGCCTTTCCTTCTTATAACCTCTCTTTTGTCACATTTGAGAAAAAGTATGAAGCTGTACTTAATGTTTTAAAAGCACATTCCTTGGTGACTATACATACTCTGTATCCCAGTGGCTACTGGCTCTATATCTATACGGGTGGCTCATCTAAACCTGATGGTGCGGCTCAGCTTTTTTTACTGTGATGGCGCTTTTGAGGACTCTGTGGCAGTTGGGTTAAATATTAACGAATTTTGAGGCTGAGATAGATGCTATTCAAGCCTTTAGATTTCCTTCTATCACAAATTATAAAAAGATTGTCTTTTTTATCGAATCTCAGGCAGCATGTTTTGGCCCTTTGCTCCTACCAAAATGATGACTCTGCATGACTTTCTTTTACACATACTCAGAATGTCTTGAGGATAAGGTCTCGTTAGCAATATCCTGAATTCAAATTGGAAAATTACTTATCGGTGGATCCCTAGCCATTGCAGTATCCTGGTCGACGAATGTGCTGATCGGCTCACTAACGAGGCTTGCAAATTATCTCAGCTGTCTTACTCTTATCCTTTTGAAAGAGTTTGTACCATGATAAAAAAGAAGATGGTCAAAAAGCTACATAATACTCAAGCCACAGGAAAAGTCTGGAAAAATCTTGTATTAGACCTTTTCCTCAAGACATTCTGAGACACATTGTGGTTGCAAACTTTAGAGTCAACACTGCTTACAACTTTTTATATGGACACATAAGTGTTGTTTCTTCTTCCGACTGCCCCTCTATTCTGGAGGGGACTATATGGATTTTAATCATATCTTGTTGTGTCCTAATCTTCAAGACAAACACTTCTTTGTTGCTGACTTTAATGTTGTTTAAATTCTACTGGGCTGCTCACGTGGAGTTATGGTTTGGTTCTTGGACTCTTCTCCGATGTAGGAATAAAAAAAATAATATTTTTCTTGTGGTCATATTGCATGTATGCTAATTTTTAAATGTTTAATTGGGCTTGATGTCATGGCATTATTTTTAATTTCAATGTATTTCATTTCTGTAGTTCATGGTATTATGACTTGATATAATTTGTAGTATTATTGATTACTCCTTTTGTTTATGTTTGTGTATTTGTAACCTTTTATTTCTTGCACATTTCACTAATTTGTGTTCCCTTTTAGACATGTGCCAATAACATAATTCCTAGTTATATACCAATTGTTGAAAAGAATAAAGACAAAGGATATTCATATGCAGATCGACATTGGCAACTTTTACGTAGAGGAAGGTAACTTGTCATGCTTATTTATCCTATGCAATAAAAGGAAGTTTGTATAACAAATTAATTTAAGTTTAAGTTTTATGTTTAAGTTAGCACAGCGCTATACTTAATATAACAGTTGCATTTAAACTGAAGTGAAAAATTTACAGATTAAAAAAAAATCAGATTTTACTATTTATAGCTTACAAAGTACAGTACAAAGTTCGTAATCCGGATGTCCATTATCCCGAATGATCTATAATGCGGACCTCAAAGCACAAACTTTTTTTTGGTATTCTTTACGCATGCGCGTTTAATGTTATGCATGTGCATTTAGCACAAAAAAACGAAACAACTTACATCGAAAGAAATGTTTAATAAAGTAAACAAATAAATATTATTATTTTTTTTTTTTAATTTTTTATTTACCCATGCGCATTTAATGTTTATGCATGCGTGTTTAGCACAAAAAAAAATGACAGTTACTTCCTATACCTATTAACAAACCATATCATTTTTTGAAATTCAAATTATATTGGGGAACTTTTTATATCTGTTCTTTTGTGTTAAGACATTTTATTGACCTGTCAAATCTGAAGTATGGTATGTCGTTTAGTTCTTAAATAAATATGGTATGTCGTTTAGTTGACATTTATCTCCAGATTTCTCTGTGGGACTGTTAGGCTTGGTGATGTAAGCAGGAAATATTCTTGAGTATTTTTTAAGGATGAGATGATTTATGTGATAACAAAGAAACTGGGCACACATCTTTAGTAAACAGCAACTTCATCTTGCTCATAAAAGGAAAAATTCACAGGGGCAGGAATTTTTCGCTAATTTCTTATTCTGTATTTAATTTTACATTTCAAGTCTGTTGTTATGTGATATATGATGTTACGAAAATTCAGAAGTTGGGTTCTTGTTAGACAGCCCAATATGAGATAAAATGTTCTTAGAGTAACATCATCCCTCCTAAAAAGAGTTAAATGCCCTGTGCTTTTTGACTTATTAAATATGAAGTTGACATGTCATCTTAGAGCAGAAGAGACAAATGTTTTGTATCACTTTAGAATGAAAACAGTTTATTATATGTTGTTATCAGAGTGGTAGGTTCCTAAATTACAAAATGTGTATGTAATGTTTTTTTTTTTTTGTTTTTTTTTTTTTTTTTTTTTTGTTTACTATCTGTATTATGTTTGCATTGACTGAATGTGTATTTGTGAATACGCATTATAAATACACATTCATATGCTATTATTTTGATATTTAGCAAAGTTGAAGAAAAAAGTGAACGAACATCATTCGTTGGCAATGCAAAAGTATCATTTTTAGTGGTCTAAATTTTTCTCCACTCTGTTTCTCTCAGCTTATATATACCAGTGGTTGAGCTGATACCACTGACTGTTGGTAGTTCTTGAATCATGCCAAATAGACTTGTTGCATGGATAATTTTGTAGTTTTTCCCCATGAGTAATGTGAATGTCCCCATGAGTAATGTGAGCAAGTTCTCCTTAACCAAATCCTCCCAAAAAGCATGTTTCCTTTGGTAGACAGCCATTGCATGCTTTCCATTAGTTAAAATCATTTTGTTAATTGCTTGAATAATCAAGCAGTTAACAGATATTGATGAATCAGCAATAAAAAGGATTTTATTAATGTTTGCAGCATTTTCCCTATTAATATAAACAGGTTTTCTGTCTTTGATTTTATATGCATAGGAATTTTTAAAATTAAATTTGCCAAAATGTATTTATTTTTCAGGTATGTTGAATTTAACTTGATTTATGACAGAGGAACAAAATTTGGATTGATGACTCCTGGAGCCAGATATGAGAGTATTTTAATGTCTCTGCCACCTTTTGCTGTAAGTTTCTTTTTTTACTTATTCAGTCACTGTTCTATGTTAGTATTAAGTTGTGTGATTAATATGTTTAAAATATTTATGCACATTTATGATGTTAATGTGTTAGATTAAATGCATTAGAATTAGATGTAAAAGGTAAAAATGTGCCATTTCCTTACCCCCTCCCCCCAAAAAGAAAAGATACCTTCTTATCTGTCTTGAGATCTTGCTAATTTTGTATGTGTCTAGTCACAAGGAAGGTTTATCATTCATTCAAAAAGTTCAAACAAAAGGAAATTTTCATTGAGTTTTGTATCTGTGTTTCATTTTATGTATACGGTACTGTACTGAAGTATGAATAAATAGCAATTAAAACTATTGACTGAGATAAGTTTAGAAGGAGAGTTTCTAAAAAAATTATGTTTGTTTTTAACATTTTTATAACCCATTGCAGTTTATTTTTTACTGCGTAGCAACATTATCATCATGTATCAAAACTTTCATGGCCTTACTGATGAATGTATGGTAAATCTGTGCAACTTAGATTTCACCCTTTATTGTCAATTCCGAGAAGTGTAAATTTTTTTATTCATCGAAAATTCCCCCCCCCTTTACTTTTGACGATTTTTCAAAAGTAACATAAGGAAGATGTTGAGGCAAATTATTGAATTGTAATGTGAGGCAATGAAAAGTAATTATGATACTGAAATAATTAATAATAATAGTGATTTAATATTATAAAAGTTAAGGAAATTAAGCTATTGAAAAGAACTTATAATAATGGTATTACTTTTGAAACTACTTAAAAAAATAATAGCTTCAAAAGTGCATAACATAACTTACATAATATGTTTTCTTTTTAAACAATTTATGAATAACTTCTTATATGGCTTTGAATTGTAGTCATACACACAAACTATATTCTTTTTGCTAATTCTTATTGCAAAAAGAATATCACTTGTATGTATGACTTAAACATGTTCTTTGTAGATTTTGAATATTGTAAGTAACGTGATAAAATGTATATTCTATGAAAACTGAAAAAAATTGTTTAAAAAATTTTGAAATCACAATATTGTATCTTCTTTTTAGTTACACAGTTATTAAGTTTTCAAATTAAAACAATAAAAGAAATTTGAAGTTTAGTTATAAAATCGCTTTTTACAGAAAAGGGAAAAATCTTGATAAATATTAACATTATAAAATTACTACACAAGCTCATGCATAAATATAAACAAACCAAAACCTAGTGTGTAAAGACTTTTATTTATTTATTTATTTATTTATTTGGAAAGAATAATATAATCTGAAATTCTGTGTAAGATTTATTTTGAATAACTTCAGAAAGACATGACAATCATGTATGTGAGAAGTTTAAAAGAATAATTTACTTTTTAAATGTTTGATTTTAAATCTATGTATTTAAATCTATGCATTCAGAGTACTTTTCTGTAATGGACATTTATGACTGTTTTCATTACTTCATATTCAAGTTTCAAAACTTCCAGTGTTTGAAAGTCTGAGTTTTACTATCCCAGTCTTAATGTATTTATTCATGGCCTGGAAAATCTGCCGTCTTAACCATTCTTGCATACTTAGTCTTAAACCTCCCCATTTTTAAAAAACAAATTTTATGTATATTTGATATTTTCTATAGCTACATATACTAACATAGAATAAAATCTATTCCTTCTCCCCCTAAAAGAGTGCAGCTTTATCAGATTTCTCTTAGTTTGATTTCAATCAATCCAGTGTTTATTCTGTAATAGCTGAGTTTTAAGATTAAAATAATTGCATGCTATTTTAATCATAAAAATCAGCTATTGCAGAATATCCTGTGAACTGATTGTTTTGTTACACTCTTTTGTCTTTATTTTGCATTCAGTGCTTTCACCTTTACCTTATATCAGACTACATTAAATCTTGCATATAGAAAGTCTTCCTTCAGTTAGTTTTATTTTATTATCCACTTTAGTTTGCATTTATTGGATGAATAATATAGATTTGTGGACGAGAACTTTAATAATTCATCTCACCTAACATATTGAATATGTAATAAGTCTATTTTAAGCATCCTTTGTAATGCAGTCCTTAATTTTTATTATGACTGATGTTGAAATCATTTATTTTATTTTAAATCATAGCTGCCAAGTCTCCTATTTTTTTTAATCGCATTTCCTACTAAATCACCTGGTTTTTTTATTTTTAGCATTTGCTAAGAAAAATATCTAGAAATTAGCGACATTTATTGAGCTATGGAAACTTAAAATTGTGAAAATAGCATTCTCTCACCCTTAGTGATTTTCAGCATGTTGTTTCTTACCAAATTTTGTCTGATCTGAATTGTTCTAATTTACTGTGGTATGTTTAATCGAATAGTATTTTATTTAATTTCATATGAATATATGTTTAATCAAATAGTATTTTATTTAATTTTATCTGAACGTATGTTTAATTTTATCTGAACATATGTTAATTTTATTTGAACATTGTTAAGTTTATTACACAGTGCTATGTGTATTAGTTATCAATTTTATTTTTGTCATGTTTAAAAGTATTTGGATAAATAAAGGCTAGGATTTTCTTGTGCAAAAAACTCACAAAATGAAATTAACCAAAGAACATAAAGTTCAGAATATCTAAGTTAATACTTAACTAAAAGCAGTAGATTGCATACTGTATGATCGCCAACATTTTTTTTCTTCCAGATGCATTGTATATACTTGGCTTAGCTGCATTCAAATACTTGGTTTAGTTCTATTTCTTTAGCACTGGAAGTTTTTTAAATTCTATCTGGTATATTACTCTCTGTGACAGTATTTAAGTTTTTTTAATTTAATTTTCTGTATGTTGTAAGTAGCTAATTTATTTGTGCAATTAAATTACATTTTACATTTCCTTCCTTCATTTATGATAAACATATTGTATATATTTCATATTTATTGTATATGATTTCTTTTACACTAAAGAAGATATGGTGAATATTCATTTTCTGTACATTTTGTTAAAAATACCACCTTTTGTGTATATGGTGGTAATTCATGATTAATGTTCTGATTTTATGCGAGACATTATATCTGAAAAATATTATCTAAACAATTTTTTTTCTCCGTTTCAGAAATGGCAGTATTGCCATACTCCAGATGAAAAATCTAAAGAGTATAAGCTGTTGGAAGTATTACAGAAACCAAAAGACTGGGTTTAATAGTTCTGTTCATATTAAAAAATTACTGATACTGGTACAGCAGTCATTTACCTAAAAAACAAAGTCTGTGATACACTAGAATCTATTGTTCTAGAACTGAAAATACACTCTTGTACCTGGTTGATAACTGTTAAGAATATAAGTTACCATGATAATTCTCAATAATACAAAACTACTTATTTTTCAACTTGATTTACTTTATGAACAGTTTGTTTTTTCACTGATTTGTTTGTTTATTAATTTTCTTATGAATTTTTGTGATCTAAAATTCTTTTTTGTAGTTAAATAAACATAAATATTGTTTGTATTGTATAGTTTTATATGTGTATTTTATATTTTCTACGATTAATACAACATATTTCCATGTGCATTTACCTTTAAGATAAAAGAGTTATATAATTTAATACTTAACAGTTGCTTTTATAGACACACAGTTCTGTATTCCATCACAGTTTGTAGGTACTTTTGCAATGTTTATGACAGAATTTCAACAGTTTTAATTTCAAATATTAGTTCACTTCATACCTATCATTGTTGCATGGAGATAGTAGAGATGCCACATATATCTGGAAAACATTATTAGGCTTGCCGTCCTTTTTTTTTTTTTTTTTTTTTTTTTTTTTTAAAGCTACAACTAACAGGATACAGCATGCATCAAAACAAATATTACTGAAAGTCATGTATAATTTGCAGGACTGCTATGTAATCAAAGCATTTATAGCTTTTGTGAAAATTTAGCTCTTGAGGTAAAAGGATTTTATCAATATAGCAAAAAGTTTTTATTATTTAATATTATTTTTTTTTCCTCATAAAATTGTCAGAAAGATAGAGTTTCTTAATAATTACAAATGAATTTTATGAGCAAATTCAAAAGCTTCGATCCCGTAAATACTATGTAGCAATATATATTTTTAAATTGTTATATTATTAGTGTTAATACTGTTCCTTCAAAATTTTATGACTGGAAATATATGTCAAGCATAATTAGAGAAGACTTTGAATTTTTTAAATTTTTATAGTAGGTTAAAAACAATTTTTTTTTTCAAAATGAAATTATTTTACTTTCTCAAAAATCAAGTAACCAGAAACAGAGCCTAGTATTACCAGACATTTTAATGCACTGAAATTACACTAAATCGTCCTTCACATAACAACTGCATAACTTTTTCAAACACAATAATTTCTTGCATAGTCTAACTTATATTAATAAATATATTTTGGAATTTTTATTTATTGTTTTTCATCATGTATTCCCCCATTTTTTAGCCCAGAAGAGCTTTCACCCAAATATGAGCACCTGGAAACCTGAATTTCCAATTTTAAATTAATTTTATTATCTGTTTCATATTTTGTAAAACTTTAACGAACTTTTGATTAAAAAATTATGATTTCAAAGCGAGCAGTAGCAACACGGTATGGAGTAATACATTTTTATCTCCAGTGTGTGAGACTTTCTATCAGAAATTCTAAAGATATGCTGTTTTTAAGCCCAAAGGGAAATTACCCCAAGTGTTCTCAAAGTGTGTATGTGTGTATAAATGAAATAAAAGCCCCTTTCAGCGTAATATCAAATCTGAAATTTTTCACTTTTTTCTCTTTTAAACCAATTTTATCATCTGAAAATCAAGATGAGAAACTGAACCGAGTAATTTGATTTCCGAACAAAGCAGTTACTGTAACACATAACAAATGAAAGTAGTTATGGATAAACTACTATATTATGGATAAACTATTACAATATTATTTCTTTGAAAGAAACCTACATTCAGTACATACTGACATTAATATTATATCTGTCGGATTATTAAAGCCCTAGGGGCATGTCACATGAGTGAATCTTGTCTGCAACTCCCATGAGGGACATCAGAGGAACTAAAAAGAAGGGAAGCGAACAAAAGACCAGGATTTTGAAAGATCGAATACATTAGCAGTACATGAGGTTACAATGATCTGAAATTAAAATAATAAAAGTAAGTTGAAATCACATGTTTAGACAATTTTTTAAGTGCAAGAACACCTGCCATGTCTGGGTAGCTCAGTGAAGAATCTGCACAAAATATGTTTCAGTCTTTAAGAATGAAACTGTATTTAACATATGAAACTTTTATTGATAATAGAAAAAACAACCTGGAAGATGAATTTCTGTAACATACGTGCAATTTATCAACTAATGGAAAAAATAAGTCTTTGTCAATAACAACTATTTTTAATTAATTCTTGATCAAGAGCAGATCTGGAATGCTTGGAGAATCAGGAGAGTCAGAGGTATAATAGGGGAAAGGTGGAAGTAAAAATATAGCTATTTTTTAAAAATCTGTAAACTATTACAGATTTGGTGAAAAAATAAAAATGAATTTAAAAAAATTGCTTTGAGATGCATACCTTCACCATATGGTCAACCGAAGTTACAAATTTTGTATCTTTAGGCCACTGCCACCCTGTCGAGTCCCACGACAGAAATCTCCCTGGGTTTCCCCCTTAATGGAATGATTCTTGTAAAAAATTTCAAAATAAGTTTCATAAGCATTTATTTAACTAAAATTAAATAGTGAAAATGATTAGGAAAATAGATCTAGCAGACAAACATATATTTAAAAAAGCTTATTAATCTGCCATTTTTTATGTTTAAAAAAATGCTTTTAGTTTTTCTATTAAAAAAAAGAGAGAGAGAGAGTGCCTAAAACCCTTTTCTTTGGGGGGGGGTGATTTCTGAAAGTTTCATAAAAATTAATGTTTTTAGCTACTGCATTTACAATGGAAAAGATTGTGAGGCCGTTAAGCTTTAGTTGGCTCATTGTTGATCGAAGATAGCTTTTAATCATCTTCAATTTTGGAAAGCTTCTCTCACAAGAAGCAACTGAAACACACACTGTCAAAAGGTTTTTAGTGCCAGATATAAATTAAGGACTTATAGGTCCATTTCCACAATAACAACATTTCAATGTCACAATGATAACATTTCAATGTCATGGCATTCTATAGTGTCCTGTAAGATTTGATGACATTTTATAGAGCTAAATGTGTAACTCGATTATTTTTCTCAAGTCCTAGAGGAATTTTGCCTGAGGGGGATTTCCTTTCGCACCCTCAAAGGTGGTGTTGCCAAATTGTGCAGCATTTCCTTAAATCTAGAGAAGCATATATTAAATTTGTTTAGAAAGTATTTTAACACATGCTATGCATCTTCTGTGCATAAAGCCATGAGCGGCTGCTCTGGTGGAAAACTGCTCACAAAATTATAGCATCAACATTTCTTACATAAACGTGGCACATTTATACATAATCACCCTCCCAGAATACAAATTTCCTTTTTTATATTCCTATATATAGGGTGTTCCATAAATATTTGTAGAAACTTAATGTTTTTAGTTTCTACCAGTAGTTTCAAGATATCGAATATCAGATATAAATATAGTTTCAAGATATTGATATCGAACTTGATAATATGAGAAAAGGATTGAGAATTGCATAGCAACCCGTGATTGGAAATGTCATGATAAAGTGGTATCAGAGTTAAAAGAAATGAAAGGACACAAAACAGAGATTGCCAGAAGTATTTATTGCTTATAAATTTTATATACTATTGTAATAAATGATACCATTTCAAAATGTTACTAAAGATGTTCAATATTTCCACCATTACGAGCAATGCTACTTTACACTGATAGCATGGTAAAAAAAAACCTGAATTTGCTTGGATTTCTACAGCAGTGCAGACAGTTCTTGCACCTAGATCCATTTCAGGCTCGTCTGGTGTTTCATATACAACAACTTTAAGTGCTATCCAAAGAATGAAATCCAGGCTGTTCAGATCTAGAGGATGTGGGGACCAGGCCATCATCAACTGTGCCCAATCTATCCTTGAACAAACACACTCTCAGATGTTACTGAATACATCTTCCATAATGGAGAAACACCCCATGATGTTGAAACCACGTGTTGCATCTTACATTTTGTGGCACAGGGTGAAGTAAACCTGGTAGAACTTGTTTAAAAAAGATGAGATAATTTGCTGATGTTTATATGTTGAAGGTTGGCGAACTGTGGCTTGTGAGCCAAATGTGGCTCTTTGGCTCTTTAAATGTGATTCTTCTACAAAATGGCACATGTGGGCACGTTCACATAAAAGCAAGAAAAATCTTGAAAATGCAACACAAAGGCTATCGAATTTTACACAAGCATGAAAACAACTGATTTTAGTACAATTGTACTGACAGGAATCGCACTGATATCCATTTTCCATTATGTCTCTACCTCGATGAGATGCACTCATTTTATGACCGAGGCTCCCTATGACAGTTTTCATTGTGTCCCTACCTCGCTACCTCATTTTATAACCGAGGTTTCCTACCTGTAGAATGGTGTTTGAGACACCAGAGTGCCTGAGCCAAAGCTCTACCCCTTGTAGAACAGTTTGATAATTTTGAAAGGTGGTATACAATAACTGAAAGATAAATTGAATAGGTGCTTTTTTTTAATAATTTTGTTAAGGTCAGATAGGAATACTCGTTAACGTATTAATAACAATTGAATTGCTCTTGTTAACATATTAATAACAATTGAATTGCTCTCGTTAACATATTAATAACAATTGAATTGCTGTTAAGGCTGGCATAAATTAGTGCGAGCACAAAAATCGATGAACTGGTGACTGTGACAAGAATGAGAGGTAGTGCAAACATAGGCAAATTGAATCCATTAAGAATTATCAGATACAAAATTTCAAATACTAACATGAACATGGAATAATTATATAGTGCAATACCTATAACATACACAAAAGTGAGAATGCAGACTTAAAATTTTAAGAGTAGCAGATAAGAGGAATGAAAATAAATATACATATGTCAAATTATTAGTGTGGCATACGTACATGATCCATACTTTTAATTGGGCCATAGGCCTATCCATATTTTCCAAACTGTTCTAGCTATAATCACAGATTTTTAATGCTGGAATTATCAATATTTTGCTGCCTTTAGTGAAATTTTTTGGCTAACTTATAATAATGAGT